GCCGTGTATCAACATCGAACTCGCGCACTCGGTGGTCGCCAGCGTACCTGAGCCAGAACGAGTAATCTCCACGACCAGAATACAGCTCGATCGCCATGTATACTCGTGCCGTGGACGCGTAGTGCCGTTGCACATGCATGGTTGCCGCATCGACCATGACAAACTCTGGAGCATCGACTGGCACATGCGTGTTGGCGTATACATCCTCGCGAAATTCCCAAGGAATGCCCTTGGGTGCCGCATGTTTGTCAATCCAAACAGGTATTTGCGAGTGAGGCTGCCCAACCAACGCAAGCCTAGATTCATCAGCGTCATATGTTTGTCCATTGCAGCACAAATCCCTGCCTCGTCGGGTCATGGTGTGTACACGTGGCAGGGCACTGCATATAAAGATGCATCAGAGCCAGAACATGGCTACGACGGTGTGACGTCGATCGGAAACGGATGTCGCTATAACACCTTCGCGGGGGGGTGGGGGGTGCAGGATGGTGGGGCGGGGAGTGCGAGGATGAGAAGACTTGTGCCGATACGTTTGGAGAGGGGGGCGGGTGTGGGCGACGTTGAGGTGCGGAACCTGTGTCATGCGATGGCGCTCCTCCTGTCAGACGGACAGGACGAGGAATGCACGACAAGCCTCCGATAGTTCACGCTCAACCTATCAGCTGCAGCGACGTTCAACGCAAATCACTGGTACCCACTGAAAACTCAATTGTGTTTCAACGCGTACTGACATGCCTGTCTTAATGATGTAACATGTGTGTCACTGTGTGATAGTTTGCTGCGCTGACTGTTTGCGATGCTTGGTTTCGTTAGGTTGGTGTATTGCCCGTTCGATCTATTGCTGGTTCACATCCTCGCGCGTGTCGCGCTGTGTTTGGTTGTGTGTGGTCGGCGGTTTCCTGTTGTCTTTCGCTTGTTGGTCTGCCAAATCACGTTTTCCATAACACCGCTCGGTGATCACCCTCGCCCTGGTGCACCCTCGCACGCGCGTCAGAAAAAGACAAGCTGATCGCAAGGGCAGCTGGCTGATACGGGGAGGGAGGGGGTGCGAGTAGGGATGCGGAGCGAGAGGGCGATATCACCTCAGCCCGAGACCTGATACAGGTAGGAAAGAGGGGTAGAGTGAGAGAGACAGTGATAGCATGCCCCACGACTGCGCGTGAGCTCGGCGCTTATGCTGCGCCCCCACCGAAAAACAGTCTGCCCCTGCCGCGGCCGAGGTGCCCGAACAAATCGAGCTTCTCGAAGCATCGAACCTCCCAATTCCTCTGATGCACGCTTGCCGAAACTAGTGCTGCTTGCAAGTTCAGAGACTCGTCTTCAAACGTTGCATAGGACAATGGATTACCGTGCTTGTGTATCCTACGAGTCATGTGTATGAAAAAATGATGCTTAAACAGCAGGGGCGTGCCCGACTGCTTCATAAACTCATTATGGCAAAGTGCCAGGTCCAGCAACTGTTGCACCACCTCACGGGGTATCTGCATGGGCGATCTCTTCAACACTTTCATGTAGTGATGCAGCGCAAAGGCAGCATGATGAAGCGGCATGCCGTGCCTCATTTGATACGCGTGCAGCCCAGACAAGTACACCGCCCATGGTAACATTGCGTTTGTTTCCGAACCCATTGTTTTCATCATAGGAATATGTTCGTGTCCAAGCATAGTTTTTTCTAGACGCTTGATCCTGTAGTCATGTGGAATATCATTTTCATCGTACCAGCTGAACAAGTGCTCTTCGAGCCGCTCGATACCGCACGAGGACACTGTTTCGAAGCCACCGCTGATATGCCATGGGTTCAACCGCAAGACGCTCCAAAGTATTGCTGATATAACTCTCTGATGGATCCCTAAGTACAAAATGTGCAACACGTCGAGCATGAATGTCAGCGTGGGTGACACATATATGAGTGGGCTGAACATTGGGTTTCTATGGTTCAGAGGGTCTATGCACGCTGGGCCGAAGAACGCAGGCCGCCAAAACACTGCAACGAATGGCAGCTGTACGGCGCTGAACTCTCCTACGTCTGGCAACTGTGGTGTCGGTTCCAATCTGTCGCCTGCTTTCAGGCCGAACCTCGGGACATCTCGTAGCAACACTCTCCCGCGGACGTGGGCTTTGCGCTTGTCCCAGAACATCATCCCATCACGTATCACCTGTCAGCGGGCCGGTGCTTAGTTGCGCGTGCCTGGGCATTGTGCGGTGGTGTCGCTGTTGCTTCGTATGTAAAATTGCAAGTGCGTGTGTGTGGGAGAGAGAGAGAGAGAGGGTGCTCGTGTGTGTGTGTGTGTGCGTGTGTGCGCATGTGCGTGCATATACGTGTGCAACTGTGCGGGATTTCTATACATGTATGTGTGTGTGGGTTTATATATGTATATATATATGCAGATATGTGTGAGAATTACATGTGTGTAACATTCGCGTACGCGGTGCCTAAGAACGGATTGGGGAGGGGTGGGGAGGGGCTTAGGGCCATTTGCGCCCTATCTGGCTCACACACCTCCCCGCCCCCATCCAGTCGGTTCTCAGGCACCTGGGCCCTTCCATCCATGACGTTTATATACAGCACGGACAGCGCAGCATCGCCTGTATGCGATCCGCCTCGGTCGATATGAGCACCTGCACTTCGCACGATTGGCAGTCAGCTTCGTAGTCATCCAGGTCGTCGGGCATGCCCCACACGTCATCATGCAACGTGACGTCGGCGTAGTCGTGCATGGTGTCGGCGAACGTCCTACACATCATGCACGGCCTCCACCCACTCCCGAGGCCGCGGAGGCCGAATGTGGTCGATTGTTCGATCAGGTCGCCCTTGATCCACACAACCAGCCCTTTCCGTATGGGATCACCCGCTGCTGCTGATCTAGGATCGTGTGTTGGCCATTGGCTGTGGTCATGCCCACGGTGCGGCTTGTGGCCGTGGATCAGTGCCAGCAGCGACCATTTGATTACCAACATGACTTGGTACACCGTGCACCATCCGCGGCAGCCACACTTGCATTGTTCTGATTTTTTCAGGATTGCCAGAGTGTGCCTGCGGCGTGTCCACACATTGTACATGAAGAACGCTGTTACTGTATCAGTTTTTCCGACTCGCTCTGAGCGCGTATATCTGATCCCGTCCACATACAAGCACAGTAGCAACGGGCAGTTCTTTCTGCCGATGTGTTGAAGCCCTGGGTGCCAAGAGTAAAGGTCATACGTGTCTTGGACACGTACGTCAGACTGCATCGATTCCACAGACAATGATTCAGTCGTGTCTACTTCTGTCTGAATGGCCTCATGAGCTGGCACAATCGGTATTTATTTGATCGTCCGCCCACCACGCCCAGCCGTCGGAACTTCGATCCAGTAGTAGTTAGACTCAGGCTTCCTTGGAATAACTCGGTCGAGATGTTTTTGAAAATTACCACCTTTGTTACGACCAGGGTTGAGAGCGAGCGTGGCGGTCTGACCCTCCATCCCAGCTTGTTTGCAGAAGAAGGCAATCGAGCACACGTCCTTCGCCGTCATGGGCCTGGATCCAGCGTACATCTCCAACAAATACTTGTAGAGGGCCGAGCTCGCGGCAAGCGTTTGCCCGGCACGCGCCTGCGAGGCATCATCCCACGGGCTTGGAGGTTGAAGCCACGGAAACATGTGCAGTGCCGAGAGCTAGCGCTCGCGAGCCAAACTGGCTAGATACGGAGAGGAAACGATCGGGGGGGTGAGGGAGATGACGGGGCGGAGGGGGCGGAGGCGGAGGGCAGATGCAGATGGAAGGGGAGCGAGGAAGGGGCGCCCCCTCTTTCAGAGTTACCCCTGTTGGCCTGCAGGCGGGAGGGGTGCGCGCCAGGCGCGCGAAAGGAACGCTGAAGTCAGGACCACAAACGATTTCAGCACGCCCAACGCACACTCCGTTCAGCCCTCCGAGCTAGGCTGAGGTTGAGTATGATTGAGTCTGAATGTTAGTGTGTCTGACTGGCATGAGTCCACGTGAGTGAGTCTACGAGTGAGCCCGAGAGCCAGAGGGTCCGGACATGAGTGTGTCTGGAGGGGGTGAATAGAGCGCGAGTTGGATGAGGAGCAGAGTTAGAGGTTACTAGAGCTGTAGATTGTGCAATGCCGTTGGAAATTTGATGACGGTTGTGTTTTTTCCATTGCCTCCCGGAATTTTTGCACGGTTCTCAAATGTCAAGATTTCAACAAATTTCCACGGATTTCACTGATTTTTCAATGATTTTTCATGCGTGTTTCTTGTATATATATATATATAGTGTTTTGTGCGGGCTTCAAAAAAGTTCAACGGATTTCAACGATATTTTACTGTTTTTTCAACTCGGTATTTGGGGCATCAATCGCTGCGAATCGTATGGTTGTGCATGTGTTTTTTGTGCTGATGGCGTGTGATTGCCCATTCTGTGTTGTGTTTTTCGAAGTGTGCATGTGTTTTTGTGTTGATGGCGTGTGTTTGCTCGTTATGTGTTGTGCGTTTCGTGTTTTGCTTGTTTGATCATGTGTGTCCATGCGTTTGGTGTGTGTGTGTGTGCGTGTGCGTGCGTGCGTGCGTGCGTGCGCGTGTGTGTGTGTGTGTGTGCATGTGTGTTGCTCTCGTTGGACGTGTTTCACACACCTCGCTCATTGCTGGAACTGTACGGCACACATGGGTGAGGAGGACGGTGATGGGAGCACGACGGGGCGCATTCTCCCACTGAGATCTCGCTGGCAAACTGTGCGGCGCCTCTCGTGTCACGCGCGCCGAGAGGACTGCGGTGTGCGAACTACTTAATCGCACCGAGTTCCGTGAGCCACCACGTGAACCCGAAACAGCACGTCACATGGGAGAGGCCGAGGCACCGCAACTTCTTGCATGCACCTGTATCCACTGCCACATGTCGGCTCCCCCCCCCATGTGTTCGAACGAAAATTGAACACGTGCCCGCATACCTATCTATCAAATGAGCTTGGCGTTGAACGCCACCGAGCAGCGCGTGGATCGCGTCGTCTAAATGTTGGCCAGCCTCTGCTTCTCCGCTTGCATGTTCTGCAAGCAGGTGATTTCGGCCTTGAGCTTCTTCAGCGGCGACTCCAGGGCAGGGGTCACGGACAGGATCTTCTCGTCGAAGGTCTCCTCCGCCATCTGGCTCTTCACCTTTGCGATGTCAGTGATCAATATCTCCTTGATGAATTGGCTCCCCATGGCGGCAGAGACCAGCGCGTTCAGGCTCTCCTGCAGGCCCGACACGCCCTCGGAGTTGTTGGCCCACTTCCACTCGGGCAGCGACTTGATGTTATCCAGGATGAGGTTCGCTTGGGTCACGGTCTGTCCGTACTCCGAGATGGACGTCTGCGCGCATTCCATGTTTGCTTTCTGCGTCTTCTTGAGTTGCTTGATCCTCTCCTTCTCCTGCTCGGCGTCGGTAGTCTTCCCGTCGAGGTCGCCCGTCTGCGCGGTGCCCGCCTTAGCCTTAGCTTTTCCTTTCGGCATTTTCTTCGACCTTGGTGTCGGCTGTGGTGCTGTCACCTGCTCGCTGTGGCGCTTCTTCGTCTTGACTTCCACGTTGCATCCTCCTTCCAGAACTGCTGGGGCCGCTGGAGCCGTTCCGCCATCCGCGATTGTCGTTGGAGCAGCTGGAGTCGGTTGGGCCGTTGGAGCGGTTGGAGTTGCGGCATGTTTGTCCATCATCTCAGTGATCTCGGTGTATTGTTTCTCGAATTTGTATTTGTACCCCGACTTCATGTACAAGTACTCCATGCGTTTGCTCTGCCAGTTGTACTTGCACCAATATCCGCCCAATTTGATGCAACTGAGGCAGATATTGAGCGCGGCCTCCGCTCCCGAGGACGTGATCCCTGTCCCAGACTCTTTACCTGCAATGACCTCGAACGGCTCGTAGGTGCCGAAGTCAGCCCAGCACTCCGCCATATTCTCCACCACAGTGTGCCTCTTCTTGTACTTTACCCACTCCTCATCGAACCACCTCTTGCGGAAGTCTGCTTTCGCGATGTTCCCTTTGGAGGTCTCGTATTTCTTTCTCTCCTCTGGGTTCGCATCCAAGTAGGTCTGGAAGCGGTTGCCCAATGCGCCCCTCGACGGCACGACGCCTGTTACATGGGCTTCTTCCAGGAATCGGTCTTTCGTCTTGGAATATTCCTCAGCCTGCTTGTTAAAGTATTCATTCTGGACGGCCGTCAACTTCGCGTCGCCTTGCGCCTGACTGTAGATGGCAGTCAGCTTGGAGATCAGCTGGGACAAGCTCTGTGGTTCCTTGGAGCGCATGGGGCCATTCGGGAGCTGACTCAAGTTGGCGACCTCGTCCCGCGACGGCGCGTCCTGAGACCCCAGCTGTTGGATGCCGATCTCCGCCAGCGGCGCAGCCTGCAAGCCGATCTCCGCCAGCGGCGCAGCCTGCAAGCCGATCTCACCGAGCGGCGCCGCCTGCAAGCCGATCTCACCGAGAGACGCCGCCTGCAAGCCGATGGAGCCGAGGTGCGGGGCGGGCTGATCAAGTGGTGGAGGTGCTCCAGGCGGCGCACCGTCCTCAGGCTAAGCGCACGCGCGCCAAACCGACACAACGCACGAAACACATATTGAACATCATTGAAACCGATGGCCTCGAAATTTCAAGCTGTTCCAGACGGGGCGCGCTCGTGCGCACGTACGCGTGCGTGTGTGTGTGTGTGTGTTTTGTGTGTGCGTGTGCGTGTGTGTGTGTGTGTGTGTGTGTGGGTGAGTGTGTGCGTGCGTGCGTGCGTGCGTGCGTTCGTGCGTACGTGCGTGTGCACGGGCATGCGTCTTCGTGAGTGCGCGTGCGCGCATGTGAACACTAGATTGCACGCGGATCCTCGCCCCCCTCGCAAGGGGGACGAGGACGGTGATAGAGGATGGCCAGCTTTGAATGCCCAACTGTCTGGCTGGCGGTCGTGAGACCACGGCGACGAGCCCGCCCCCTCGAAGGTCATGGGGCAGCCCTTGTCTGCGTCGTGCTTGTTGTTGCCGATGTCCGTGCCGTGGTCGCCGTCGCAGTTGTCCTTGCCGATCTCGGTGTCGCCGCCCTTGCCTTGGGACTTGTCGTAGTCGTTGGAGCAGCGCTTGTCCTCGAACGTGTCCCTGGCGTCGCCAGCACCCGCGACGTCGGGGCTGCGACGCTGGTGCTTCGTCTGGGCGAGGGGCGCATCGTCGCTGTCATCGATGGCCGCATCGGCTGAGCTTCTCTTGGCGCCGACGTCCTTGTCACGGGCGTCGTCGCTGTCGTCGATCTCAACAACGGTGTCAGTGCGGCGTGCGTTGATGTCGGCTCCGCTGGCGGCCGCACCAGTGCCGACGATCTGGCCCTTGGAGCCGTCCGTGCCGTCGTCAGCGCCCTGGTCGACGCCCTTGGTCTCGGAGCCGTCCTGGCGGCGATCAGGGGGGGAGGGGTGCACCGATGTCCGACGAGTGGCAGGGCGAGGAGGAGGAGGGTGATTGTGACCAGAATTGGTATCAGGATGAAAATGAACTCCCTGGGGGCCCCTCGGGGAACCACTGGCGAGGCTACCGAAGTTCGGCTTGAACCCGCATGGGGTCCTCCAACTCCTCCCTAGAACGCTCGCCCACGGGGGACTCGTCCTCAGGGTAGTCAGATTTAGTGTGTGTGTGTGTGTGTGTGTGTGTGTTTGCGTGCGTGCGTGCGTGCGTGCGTGCGTGCGTGCGTGCGTGCGTGAGTGCTGTGCGTGTGCGTGTGTGTGAGCGTGTGTAGTGTGTGTGTGTGTGTGTGTGTGGTGGGGGGAGGGTGGGTGCGTGTGTGCGCGCTGTTATTCGTTTCTGCGTCGCATGTTAGGTGTTGGTGCATGGCGCTGATGTTGCGATGCATATCGGCGTTGCTGCTGCCGTGATGCCAGTGTTTCTTGCGTTACCAATGGGCATGAGATGCAACGGGATGCAACATAGTTCATTGTTTTTAAAATGCTTGTTAAATGCGTGCGTTTGTCATGCTTTCGCGATGCCGACGTTCAACCGTTCTGGGTGGCAGAGGAGGGCCAGGGTGAGGATGAGGCGGGGAAGGATGATGAACGATACTGAGACGATTGATAAGATGTTGCTGATGATGATGCTGATGATGAGGATGCTGGTGATGCTGCTGCTGATGATGCTGCTGATGATGATGGTGCTGATGCTGATGATGACGTTGATGATGATGATGACGATGACGATGATGATGATGGTGGTGATGATGATGATGATGATCATGATCATTATTTCTGGTTGTGCCGCCCCCAGGCGTTGTCGTTGAAGCCTCATGGGTCTTCCATGAGATGTACGAGCGCGGCCTCCATCATGGACGCGGCTGGCCCGTCCATGTCGCTCGTGGTGTTGGCCGTCTCGCCGTCGGCTTTCGTGTGCACGTGATCTGTGATGATCGTCTTGCTGATCGAGTCCTTCTTGATCGGGGTCGTCTTCATGTGTGGGGATGGGCTCCCAGCTGCGTCCGTGCAGGTCTTGTCTGCTGCCGCTGGTGTCACCTGCTGCGCCGCCAGCTTCTGCTTTGTCGGAGTTGCCGCTGCAGCTGGCTTCTTCATCGTCGGGTGGTCGACGTGCTCCTCATGCGTGGAACGCTTGCGCTTGATCTTGTGGCACGCTGCCGCTGGCTTCTTCATCGCGGTCATGCGCATCTTCTTCAGCGGTACGTCGTCGGCGACGGCCTCGTCTTCCTTGTCGGCGTCTGAGGCTGCGTCGGCATCATCAGCATCTGCATCCTCCTCCTCCTCCTCGTCCTCGTTGTCGCTGTCATGGTTCTCGCCAACGACCTGCTCGACGATCTCGGCGTCGCCCTTGTCGTGCTTGCCTGGGGGTGAAGCTCCATCAATCCTCCTCATCCTCCGTCTCATCATTCCCCTCCCCCTTTCCCTTATCCTATCTACCATGTCAGAGCCTATACGTGAACCTCTCTCATCCTCACCAGTATTTCCTCCTCCTCCTCCTCCTCCTCCTCTATCCTCCTCCTCCTCTATCCTCCTCCTCACCGCTCTCCTCCCAACCATCTGCCCACCCCTCTGCGTCCGGCCCTGCTCGGAGAGGAGAGCGGGGTGGGAGTGCGATATTGGTCGCTCTATGCCTGCAGGCCGCTTGCGAACGACATTGTCGTGCTTCTTCATCTCGTTCTGCAGCTCGATCCTGCGCTTGCTCGCCTCGGCCTTCGTCTTGATCGTGCCATCCTTGAACTTCTCGATGATGTGCTTCTGCACGGCCTCGAGCGCTGCCTGCTCAGACTCGAAGTAGCCGCAGCTGATGTTCGTCATCTGCTCCTTGCCCTTGCCCCCCTTCACTGTGCGATGGACCCTGATCAGCTTGTCTGGGCCGCGGTCGTCGCTCTTTCGGCCATGATGAAGGCCTCTTTTTTTTTTTGAAGTTTCAGACCGTCTGGACGTAGTGTCAGTCTCCCAATTCACTTCATCCTGGACGACGTGCGCAACGGACATCATTTGTCAAACCTCGGTCGCGAACAATTATACGAAACGCCCCACCCCCACCTTGTACCGCAGTAGTCGTAGTCGTTCTCCAGAAGGCTCGATTCCTGTGTTTGATTGCCGTTTTCTCGTCGGGGGGGGCTGTATCTCTTTTCTTCTTATCTTCGATTCTGGGCACACGTCTCTGGAGGCCCCGAATTTCCTGTGTTGAATCGGGGGACTTGCGGAATCGGGGCCCTGGGGGGTTGAGTCTCATTGTATTTGTACACGTTTACGTACAGCTGGCGAACAGGGGTCTGACTGCTTGACGCCAATCTGCTCGAGCGGCTCGCTGAACCACTGTGGCCAGACCTTCCTCGTGAATGTCGTGCTGGCGTGCTTGAGCATCGCGCGAATTCTCTCGCCCATTTCGATCGACCAGCTTGTCAAGACCGCGCCTTGGACGCCTGGCCAGTTCTTGTCGTTCCCGATCAAGTAGAGCGCATTCTCCAGTGACTTCTTGCTCAACCACATGTTGGGCGCCACGTTCTTCCTGATGCAGTAGACGATGTCCATGTGGGCTGCCGTTCGATCCTTGTCGGGGCCTGATCTGCCCTTCTTCGTCGGGTAGTTGACGAACTCCGCGTTCGTCGCGAACTGCTCTAGGTGCTCCTTGATGAGGCTGACGTCCACGCAGGCGTGCGGCGAGTCGGCCGAGACATCTGATGCCGTCGCGTCGGCCGCCATACCCCTGGCACTGGCCGAGCACGTGCCTGGCGCTCGTCGCGCCTCTGTGCCAAAATGGCTATAGTTGTCTGTTATAGTTGATATTCCACCAGCTCTCTGGGCGTAGGTGGTTTAGGGATTCGGGGAGGGGTTTACCTCTCCCCTCCCACCCCTCTCCTGGACCTGGACGGGGTTGCCGGAGGGGGGGGGGGCGGCGGGGCCGCTGCGGGCGGCGCAGGCGAGTCGCAGGGGGCGGGCGAGGGCGAGGTAGAGAGGGGGGGTAGGCGGGCTGGAGGCGACGGTGTAGGGCAGCCGCCCTGGGCGCCCGAGAAGAGAAGATATGCAGAAGAGACCGAGAAGCTCTTTTCGAGGAGGGAAAGCCCAACAAATTTGGTTGTTTAATATGTTGGCCTAGTTAGTCATCGACCAGTCCGTCGATTGGTCAGCTGGTGGGGGGCAATGCAACTTGCGGCCATCCTCTTATCGGATCGATGTCCCCCAAGATGGCCCCAAGCAGCGCACATGCGATGGTCCCAAGATGGCCCCATGAGGCTCCCAAGAAGCAACAGGGAGGCTTCCAAGATGACCCCAAGCGCCCCTTCCACCCCCCAATGCGCCCAAGACGCCTAAGAGCCCACCAGGATCGCCACGAGACCCCCAAGACGTCCCAATCGGCCACCAAGAAGCCCCCAGAGATATTCCAAGAGGCTCCGATTGGCATCCACGCTTAGCATCACTCCTTGTACTTCTTCTCTTCCTCATCCTCCTGCTCCTCCTCCCCCCCCTCCTCATCAGATTCATCTTCTTACCCCCCACTCCCTCATTCCTCCAGCCTCCTCCGTGTCAACGTCCACCCTGTTTCGCTGTGCTGCCGCCCACCTCTTTGCTCCCGCATTTCCCTGATCACATCACTCGCCTGGACACTGTTGCTGGATGGGCTGGTGGGGATACGCGAAGCGTATGGAGGTATTTCGTGTGTTTTAGTTGTGTGAGGCGTTGGGTTTCAACGAGTTTCAACGGATTTCATTTGTGTTTCAACGTTGAAATGGGAAACTGCCGCTGGGGCCTTCGGTGGAGTTCCCTATGGGGCCACGAGACGTGTGAGGGGTGTGCCGAAACGGGCGCGGGTACGCCATGTGGACCCTGCCACAGGAGGAGAATGAGGAAACAGAGAATGATGAGGAGGATGAGGATGAGTAGGATGAGCACACGCAAAGATGCGCCGAGGATGCGGAGCAGGAGGAGGGAGGGAGGGAGGAAGTGAGGGAGGGAGGGAGGAGGGGAGGAAGGGAGGACGAGGGAGATGGGACGAGGATATCGAGGAGAAGAATGGGGAGGAGGGATTAGGACGAGGAGGAGGCGGACGAGGAGGAGGAGGGCGAGGTCCTTGAGGTCCTCCGCGGCGACGCCAGCAGCAGCCAGCACCTGGGCAGCGATTGGACACATCCGGTGGCACGGGATACCCCGTGCCACCGAATGTGTCCAGTCAAGGGTGTATTACAGCATCTATGGCGCTCCTCTTCCCCCTCCCCCTCCTCCTCCTCCTCCTCCTCCTCCGCCTCCTCCGCATCCTCCCTGTCATTCATCTTCCCGCCTCCCACCTCGTCCTTGCAACCCTCGGGGCCTGCGCCATGTCGGCAGCCTGGCCGCGCAGCCTGGCTGCCTGGGGAAAGGGTCGAGGGAGTGAACCGATCGATTGATCGATTCACCCCCTCGATTGATATTTTTTGTTGATTTGTACACATGTGTGTTAGATAATATAATGAATATATACATATATATGTATGTATAGAACCACGCGCGCGCTTCGCGCGCGCTTAGGTTCTGTCGAGTCACAGACCCAGGAATCGCTGCGAGAAGAAATTGGTGACGCGAAGCGTCTTGGGGGCGTCCTTGGACGTCTGGGGTCTCCTGGGGCCTCTTGAGGGGCCTCCTTGGGGCCTCCTGGCGGCCTCTTTGGGCGGAAGGCTCGAGCTTGCGGTTCGTGGTCCCCCTCTGGGCCCCCTCTTGGGCCCGTCTTGGGGCCCTCTTGGGCCATCTTGGGCGCCTCTTGGGCCGTCTTGGGGCCCTCTTGGGCTGTCCTGGGGCCCTCTGGGAAACTTCTTGGGCGGTCTTGGGGCGGTCTTGGGCGCCTCTTGGCCGTCCTGTAACGTCGGAAAGCCCAAAAGGCGACTTTGTTAAAAATGTACGTTTTACGAAGGGAAAATTTCGGCCCAATTTCATTTTTGCGTCCACTAGGGGGC